CCCCCCCCCCCCCCCCCCCAGTGTGAAGGACCCTGAAAAAAATTGATATTTTAGAGGGTGAAGGGTGCCATTTGGTACAGTTTAGTCCTATGATTCAGCTAAAAAAAAGAAAATTGTAATTTCAAAAGGGGACCAATAGTGTGATTTTTCAGAAATCACATGGGAGGGGGGTGGGGATCAGGACCCCCTGCCTAAATCTGCCACTGGGATATTTGGGTATATTTTAAAGCAGATGTACATTATACAAATGTACAATAGACACTAAATTAAATGGTTTATTCCTAAATTTTTCATATGTTCTGTAAAGATTGACTATACATAGAATACAAAGTTTATTTTTAAAAAATTGTTGGTAATTTTCTTTAAATGAGATATATAAATATACACCATAAACCTGACTTTTTTTACACTTATTAGACAAAGTGAGTGTATAAAATATTTATGTTAAAGCAATATGTTGATATTATATAAATTGGTGTTAATTTTTTCTACCATTCAGCAAAGTGAACAGAGTAGCAACATACAGGGAACTAGACAATGACCTTCTCAGACATGCAGCATTCCAGACTCTAGTAAGTATCATGGCACCAAGGTAGTGGTCACATCAGGATTGACTTAGACTTAAAATAACAAAGTTGACACAACTTGCCTGTAAGATCACACAGGAAGCTATATTGCTCCTTAGACCCTTTTTATCCCATGTTATTAAGCAGTCTACTGTCTAGACATCTGCTTGACTGTTTGCCCATTTTAAGTTTGAGTGAAACCTGATGTCAACATTGATCTTTTGTCAAAGTAAATTTACGCATGATATATGTTAAATTTTTGGAAATGTTTTAACTTATACATTCATAACAGGCAGTCAGCTTGTATCTGCATTGCATTTCAGAGATTTTTGAGTACTTATATATATATATATATATCNAGTGGTCACATCAGGATTGACTTAGACTTAAAATAGCACAGTTGACACAACTTGCCTGTAAGATCACACAGGAAGCAATATTGCTCCTTAGACCTTTTTCATCCCATTTTTTTTTAAGCAGTCTACTGTCTAGACATCTGCTTGTCTGTTAGCCCATTTTAAGTTTGAGTGAAACCTGATGTCAGCATTGATCTTTTGTCAAAGTCAATTTACTCATGATACATTTTAAATCTTTGGAAATGTTTTAACTTATACATTCATAACAGGTGGTCAACTTGTATCTGCATTGCATTTCAGAGATTTTCGAGTATATTTGTTTATACCTTTAAACAGTTTCTAACTTGATTTCTCAGAGATTGGAGAAATTAAATATATTATATATTTTTACTTATGCACTGTGTGAGATTCACAGATATTTGATCAGCATTTGTTGAAAATTTCAGTTTTACAAAATGGTAGGCATTGATACAACCCTGTGTGGAGACTAAATAATATACCCTTTTTGCTTCATTTCATTCCCTGTCATTCATTTATACTGTTTTGATTTTTTTCTGTTGTGCTGTAAAATTTTGAAAAAAAAAGAAAAAAAACTAGTGACTTCACTATGTCCTGACAATGACAGAATGTTTTGTATGTCTGTTAAATGTTTTGCCTTATTTGGAATTTCAGTTATCAAACATACCACTTACTACCTCCAATTAAAGTGATTAGTTACTGACCAAGGTTGCTGTCTTAATCTTTTAAGATGTCGATTGATTTTTTTGTGATTAATGAACTTGTTTTTGTTTATATTGTGTGATATAAATATGTTATATTAATTTCTAAAAAGGATTAACTTATTTTGATTGGCATTAGAATGTGAAAGATATTAAAAGCACCTGCACCAGAACCTATAAGATATATGGCATCACTTCATTACTAATAATTGCTTAAAAATATTAGAATTCATCTAAATTGTTTGGTATTGTAGTTTTCACTTGTTCATTCAGCCTCTATCTTTTATGTCTTAAAAGCCAGCAATGTTGAAAAGAGACTTTTTGATTGTGTTTTTTTTTCTCCATAGGATAATGAGATTGATCTCAAATTACTGACCAAAGTTTTATCAGCAGAATCTGAAGTCATTGAGGTAAGACTATTCAAGATATGAAAACTGTTACTGGATCTATGTGTATAATGTGAAATATTCCAGTAGAATTAATTTGCAAATTTACAAAATCCACAAAACAAATGAATGAATAAATAAAAGATTTCATTTAATAAAGCTTTTTAAAATTAATAAAGGTATATCTTTGAAGGAGGAAGTGTTGAATAAGTAGGAGTTGTAGACTTTAAAAAATATGTCATCTCATTTTCAACAGGAGGATAAACCATGGGAATGGGACCAATTATTCACAGAGGTTTCCTCCGAACTAATCAATGAGTGGGAAGCCAGTGAAGTCAAAGATTCGGATCCAACTGCTGCTTGACAGAGAACTAGATGTTTAATGACTTTGATCTTTGAATTAGTCCAGAGACTTGTGGATAGTGAACAAGGGCATTTTAATCAAAGAATCTGTTAGTTTAACAGAATTATCTCTTGACATTTGAAGTTCTTTTTTGTAACTTTTTTTACAACCTCACGTATGTAAAAAAGATTGAATCACGTCATCAGTCAAGCAGTCCGTCCACTTCAGCTGAAATTTTTGCTGAATTTTATATATTGCTCTCTGATTGGCATTTCTTCATTCTTCATTCAATCTGAAAAAATTCTTCTGCCTGCATTACCAATATCATAATTCATAATTTATAATTTTATGATACTTATTTTATTAAAAGTATGTCACATACTTGATGTGGTCAATCTTGTGACCAGGTATATTGTGTTACAGGTTGATTCTTACAATAAAGAAATTATAAAAACATGTGAGTGTTGTTTGCAATATGGGTATTTATCACAATTATTGTGACTGAAAAAATCCTGTTTATTGTCCACTCTATTTTTGTCTTAGAAGGGCTTTAGATAAAAAGATATATAATTTCTTTACTTTTTATGTCTACAAATCTTGCTAAGCTTCTTATTTTCCCTATCCAGACCTTCACAAACTCCTTATAAAAAAGGTAAAACTCCTCAAATAAAAGTACCAGCTAGATGTCTTTGTTTCCATCTGAAAATTGAAGGAAAACATAACCAATCATTAAATTATTAGAATTACAGTACTGAGATAAAAATGTTATGAAAAATCAACCTGAGTGTAGGGAAAGGCTGAGCAATGATTGTCAGTAAAAAAATTGCCTTAAAAAAATCAATGTGACATGAAAATCCTGAGTAGGATATTCTTTAATATGGGCTTTAAATATGAGATATTAAACCTTAGAAATCATTATTATAATAATAAGTAGCATCAATCTATGTTAAAATGGGTCATATATTTAAAACATGAAAAAAGGATATGCATTCTTAAAAACAATGGAACACACACACGCATCTTTTTATATATATTTATATACTATTGGTTTGAAGCAAGAAGATTTGCATATAAGAGAAAAATGAGTTTATTTTTCAATTTTGGATCATTTGAAAATTTTGAAATAAATTTTAGAAATAAATTTGTTCATTTGCCTTTTATTTGATGTGTTATTTTTCATATCAAGGTGAAATTTTACTGCCTGGGGCCAGTTTTACATGCCCTCCCCCTGCTGCATTTTAGTGCTTATTTTGGCCGACTGGCGGCAGCACCTTACGGGTCATGTCATGGCACTGGAAGGCTATGCTATTAATGTACCCTGATTTTTTTTATATTGCCTTGAATAGAAGTATTTAAACCTGAAGTGTTGTGTTTGTTGAAGCATGGAAAGTATTTTTAAGAGAATTAAACGTCACAATGGCAGTGAATGGGATTTTTAATAGTGGTTTGTAACCTAATGGGAAAACGTGCAAGTACAAGCGGCCAGTGCACAACAGAAGTACATGTACTTCACCTAGCTCTTGCCTTTAACGGTGTACGAGTTATTTGGCTTAGACGGGAAGACAGGCATGAGCAATGTATCCAGCCCTATGTGATTAAAGTTAGAATTCAACCTGTGTACAATTGCTGCATTGGTGAACGAAAGTGTCGGGAGTGGGGGAGGGGGGGAGTACGTACATCACTATAGTACTTACAGGGGGTAGCACAGCATATCGTCAATATTTAGGAGTACCAACGCATGATTTTCGTGCTATTTCTTTTAAATACAAATGTATCAGAGGCCGCAGGGGAGAAGCTCCTACAGCGCATATCAAAAACCGTAAATATGTATGGAACGCATCATGAAACTTTGTGGTTTTTTCTTTTGGAAGGGGGGGGGGGGGGGGGGGGGGGGGAAAAGAAAAATCTTATACCCATTTGTACCTTTTTAAAGGCCCACTGTATGCTGGCACTGCAAATATACACAGTATCTTTGAGTTGCACCCTGGGACAGGAGTGTTCAGTGTCACTATGGGTTCTGGCTGTAGACTGAGCAGGCACATGTGCCCCACGTAGCCATCACTGTTACACACCCACACATCTCTGTAGCCCGATGTGTTCACACCATCCACGGGGGAGGCACAGGAAAACTGCAAGTAATGATTGGTACGAAAGATAGGATGAAAAAATAATGTAAATCTATCTTTCCATCCATCCACTCATCCATTTATATATCTATTAAATGATTAATTATATCAAATTAAATTGAAATACTCAGAGATCAAGAAAATGGAAATAAGGTCCACGAGAGACTATCACATGAGTAGTGGAATCCAAAATTTATTTATTACAAAATAAATTATCATTTTTAAAAAAGCATGTGCACTTTTGCATTGTAGAGAGAGAGAGAGAGAGAGAGAGAGAGAGAGAGAGAGAGGTCATAAACATCAGTNGAAGTTTTCTCTGGTATACTATGACTCTGAGTACTAGGAAGTAAATGTCTTTACAAGTGCAAGAATTATGTGGCGCACCCTCTCTGTCTGCATCTACCCTGGAACAGTTTCCTCATGAGAACATCTTGAAAGAAAGAAACACAGAGTCAAAGGCTGACCAAGACCAGTTAGTGAGGACTATAGATGGGCTTTAAATATGATTTATTAAACCTTAAAAATTATTATTATAATAATAAGTAGCATTAATCTATGTTAAAATGGGTCATTTATTTAAAACGTGAAAAAAAAGGATGTGCATTCTTAAAAACAATGGAACACACACTCGCATCTTTTTATATATATACTATTGGTTTGAAGCAAGAAGATTTGCATATAAGAGAAAAATGAGTTTATTTTTCAATTTTGGATCATTTGAAAATTTTGAAATAAATTTTAGAAATAAATTTGTTCATTTGCCTTTTATTTGATGTGTTTTTTTTTTCATATCAAGGTGAAATTTTACTGCCTGGGGCCAATTTTACATGCCCTCCCCCTGCTGCATTTTAGTGCTTATTTTGGCCGACTGGCGGCAGCACCTTACGGGTCATGTCACTGGCCATGCCATTTAGGCTACAAACCACTATTAAAAATCCCATTCACTTCCATTGTAACGTTTAATTCTCTTAAAAATATTTCCCATGCATCAACAAACACAACACTTCAGGTTTAAATACTTCTACTCAAGGCCTAAACAATATTTAAAAAATCAGGGTACATTAATGGCATAGCTTGCCAGTGACATGACATGACCCGTAAGGTGCTGCCGCCAGTCTGCCAAAATAAGCACTAAAATGCACTTCTTGATTCAAACTTGCTAAACAAGGAAGGCCGGAAGTGCCGTATAACCTAAATGTACCCTGATTTTTTAATATTGCCTTGAGTAGAAGTATTTAAACCTGAAGTGTTGTGTTTGTTGAAGCATGGAAAGTATTTTTAAGAGAATTAAACGTCACAATGGAAGTGAATGGGATTTTTAATAGTGGTTTGAAACCTAATGGGAAAACGTGCAAGTACAAGCGGCCAGTGCACACCAAGTACTACACCTAGCTCTTGCCTCTAACGGTGTACGAGTTTGGCTTAGACGGGAAGACAGGCATGAGCAATGTATCCAGCCTTATGTGATAAAAGTAAGAATTCAACCTGTGTACAATTGCTGCATTGGTGAACGAAATGTCGGGAGTGGGGGAGGGGGTGGGGGAGTATACGTACATCACTAGTACTAGTACTTACAGGGGGTAGCACAGAATAGGGGGGGAGTACGTACATCACTATAGTACTTACAGGGGGTAGCACAGCATATCGTCAATATTCAGGAGTGCCAACGCATGACTTTCGTGCTATTTCTTTTAAATACAAGTGTATTAGAGGCCGCAGGGGAGAAGCACCTACTGAAGTATAGCGCATATCAAAAACCGTAAATATGTATGGAGTGCTAACGCATCATGAAACTTCGTGGTTTTTTCTTTGGAAAGGGGGGGGGGGGTGGCGGGGGAGAGGTACGTGCATACACGTTCACTGATTTAGGATGAATGTAAGGTTGTAGTCTAATTGTCTCATACAGACTAAGTCTTTTCACAATTTGTATAGATGCATGCTTTGTGTATTATTTCTCGTATTTCAGAATCTGTCATACCAGTACATCTTTATCCATTATGTGAAATTTTAATTTTCAGGATTCATATAATTTCCCCAAAGTTATCTGTGGTATACTATGACTCCGAGTACTAGGAAGTAAATGTCTTTACAAGTGCAAGGATTATGTGGTGCACCCTCTCTGTCTGCATCTACCCTGGAACAGTTTCCTCATGAGAACATCTTGAAAGAAAGAAACACAGAGTCAAAGGCTGACCAAAACCAGTTAGTGAGGAGTATAGATGTCCTCACAGAGGCTATATCCTATGATGAGTTCTTTAAAAAGTACTTGATTGCTAATAAGCCATGTTTACTGGCTCCAGAGTTAGCTGTCAACTCATGGAAGGCAAGGAAGGAGTGGGTCACAGAAGACGGAAAACCAAACTTTGAGAACTTAAAGTTGTTCTTTGCAAAAGGCAGGTTCAAAATGCTATTCTGATTTTGTTTTAGCTGGGTGACAAGCCCCACTCTATCATAATTATCTTGAAGTTAATTTTATAAAAGGGGTAACCGACC